GAATACCGGCAGGGACTGTAGGAGCTGAGGGTTCCGGTTACCGGGACGGGAGACGGGTACCAGAGGGGGGTCCCAGACAAGTCTACGGGACGTGGAGGTCCCGGTTACCGGGATGGGGGGTGGATACCGGCAGGGACTGTAGGAGCTGAGGGTCCCGGTTACCGGGACGGAAGGTGGGTATTAGAGCGGGGTCCCGGGTACCTCTACCAGCTGCAGAAGGTAGGGGTCCCGGTTACCGGGACAGGAGGTGGGTACCGGAGAGGGGTTCCGGTAACCGGCAGGGGCTGCGGAAGGTATACTGGGACGGGAAACAGGAAGAGAAGTCCCGGACAGGTGTACGGGAAATGAGGGTCCCGGTTACCGGGACGGAAGGCGGGTAACGGCGGGGACTGTAGGAGCTGAGGGTCCCAGTTACCGGGACAGGAGGCGAGGACCGGAGGGCGGTCGCAGAAGGTAGGGGTCCCGGTTACCGGGACGGAAGGCGGGTACCTGAGGGGGGTCCCGGGTAGCGGCGGGGACTACCCAAGCTAGAGGTGTCGGCTACCGGGACGGGATGCAGGTACCGGAGGGGGGTCGCAGAAGGCAGGGGTCCCGGTTACTGGGACGGAAGGCGGGTACCGGAGGGGGGTCCCGGGTACCTCTACCGGCTGCAGAAGGTAGGGGTCCCGGTTACCGGGACGGATACAGGTACCGGAGGGGGGTCGCGGAAGGTAGGGATCCCGGTTACTGAGACGGGAGACGGGGAGTCCCAGAAGGTAGGGGTCCCGGTTACCGGGACGGGATACAGGTACCGGAGGGGGGTCGCGGAAGGTAGGGATCCCGGTTACTGAGACGGGAGACGGGGAGTCCCAGAAGGTAGGGGTCCCGGTTACCGGGACGGGATACAGGTACCGGAGGGGGGTCGCGGAAGGTAGGGATCCCGGTTACTGAGACGGGAGACGGGGAGTCCCAGAAGGTAGGGGTCCCGGTTACCGGGACGGGATACAGGTACCGGAGGGGGGTCGCGGAAGGTAGGGATCCCGGTTACTGAGACGGGAGACGGGGAGTCCCAGAAGGTAGGGGTCCCGGTTACCGGGACGGGATACAGGTACCGGAGGGGGGTCGCGGAAGGTAGGGATCCCGGTTACTGAGACGGGAGACGGGGAGTCCCAGAAGGTAGGGGTCCCGGTTACCGGGACGGGATACAGGTACCGGAGGGGGGTCGCGGAAGGTAGGGATCCCGGTTACTGAGACGGGAGACGGGGAGTCCCAGAAGGTAGGGGTCCCGGTTACCGGGACGGGATACAGGTACCGGAGGGGGGTCGCGGAAGGTAGGGATCCCGGTTACTGAGACGGGAGACGGGGAGTCCCAGAAGGTAGGGGTCCCGGTTACCGGGACGGGAAGCGGGTACCGGAGGGGGGTCCCGGGTAGCGGCGGGGACTACCCAAGCTAGAGGCGTCGGCTACCGGGACGGGGTTCCCGGTACGGATGGCAGGGGTGCAGGGAAGGGAGCGCTGCGGGCCGGGGCAGGGCCGGCGGGCGCACGAGGCGGCGGTCGGGGCGGAGCGGAGCGGGGCGGGGGGAGGCCCCGCGGGGAGCCCTTACCATCTTGACGATGCCGCGCTGGACGGTGAGGGGCTGCGCGGAGCCGCCCTGCCCGGGGGCGGCCGCGGAGGCCATGGCGGGGCCGGGGGGCGACGGAGGGGAACGAGCGCGGACGGAGCGGACGGGG